GGGGACTACAGTAAGTGTAGAATCTGCAAACACAACACTTGGAAAACCTCAAGTGTTAGCCTAGGATCTTTACTGGAATGGTAGACTAGTAAGGTAGCGGAAGTCTTTGTAAGAATGAACCTGAGTATATAATTCAGTTGAAGTCAAGTTTAAAGTCTCAAAGTTGAAATCTCAAGGTTAACAATAGAAAGGCATAAAAAGATTTTATAGCTCTAGGAAAGTACTTGTTCGCTAATGTACCTGTTCGTCACTATCGCACTATTTGCCCTAAATGATAATGAAGAGACGCAACTATTCGCGCGACTGAAACGACTGTCCTCATGACGAGTGCTATTTGCTGACGTCATCCTACGGACTTATATTCTACTGTAGGATTCGACACTATCTACCGATAATCGACTTACAGAAATGCTAAGTATGCATTATATCACAACACTCCCCTTCATTTCTGGAAGTTCGACAGTGTCACTTCTTGAAGATCCCGCAAAGCTTGTTACAGTACTGAAACTTCTGTCGTGTCAGCTTCTTCGTGAGGAAGTCGGCAGCCATTTCGTTGGTCAAACAATAGACCAATCGCATTCTCCCCTTCTCGACTTCATCCTTGACGAAAAAATAACGTAGTGAAATATGTTTCGTCCTGTTCACGAAGCCAGGTTGATGCGCGATGCGAATTGCACTCTGGTTGTCACACTGTAAAGTGATATGAGTACTCGTCGTCAACTTTGCTTCTTCCAAGAGCTCCTGCAGGTAAAGTCCTTCGCGTTTTGCTGTGCAGACAGCAATAAATTCAGCTTCAGCAGAGGAGAGAGCAATCCGCTCCTGCTTCATCGAATTCCAAGAAATAGGGCCGATAGGTTCAAGGCGGTAGATGAATCCAGCACGCGAGCGCCGATTAGTAGTATCAGCAGCGTGGTCGGCGCCGACGAAACGGTGTAGGTATAGAGTTTTACAGCCGACGACGTTGTAGACTAAGCCGACGTCAGGAGTCGAGACGAAATACTGAAGCGCGCGAAGAAGATCGAGTTGGTGTTCTTCTTCAGGACGGCGTAGGAACTGTGCGAGTTGACTAGCCGCGTACGCTAGATCTGGACGACAAGTAACAGCGGTGAAGAGTAGACAGCCTAATTGCTGTTGATCGGTCTGTAGGTCGGTTAGACTCAACGGTGTAGTATTCGGTTTGTAGTCTGTCGGTAGTGATCGGTACGGTGTAGTGACTGTAGAAGGAGTGAGGTTGAAGCGGGCAGCGAGCGTCGCTGCGTACTTCGAAGCGGTGAGGTGAATAGACGTCGGTGAGTAGGTAATATTTAAACCGAGAAACTGTGAGACTGTCTCGGAGACGGTAAGCTGTAGATTTTTCTGTAGTTTCAGTATGAAGGTATTGGCGAGCGAGTCGGTAGTACTGACGTAGAGAATATCGTCGACGTAGGCGACAAGTAAAATATAGTTGCTCCCGTCAGTTAAAAGATACATCCCCTGGTCATGCGGTAGTTGACGGAATCCAGCAGTGAGTAGCTGTGAATGTACTGTAGGTACTGCTTGCATAGCCGGGGTGCCTGTTTAATGCCGTATAGCGAATTTCGGAGACGGCATACGCTCGGTGGGTTAGTAGTATACTAATGTGGGTACTCTACCAGAATGAGTATGTCGACGGGTGCGTAGAGAAATGCGTTTGCCACGTCGATTTGTCGAAGTCGTAGATTGCGGCAGGCGGCGACACAGAGTAAAATCCGAACGCTCGTATGTCGACCGACGGGAGCAAAAGTTAACTCGTAGTCGATGCCGTAAGTCTGCTCGAACCCGCGGATGACCCATCACGCCTTGAATTTCTCAAACGACCCATCTGCATTAGTCTTGACACGGAAGACCCACTTCCCGGCAAGTACCTTCCTCCCTTTTACTTCTGATGTCGGTACTAACTCCCATGTGCCGCGAGTCTTGAGAGCTGCTAGCTCTCTGTCCATGGCTTTGCGCCATTTTTCGCGGTAAGGACTCGTAAGAGCTTGTCGAACGGTTTTCGGTTAAGATATTTTACTGTCGTTGTACTGTACTGCGACTGCGAATCCAAGTATCTGTAAGCCAGTTTCTGTAAAACGCGGACGTTCTTCGTTTGCACCTGCGAAATTTTCTTCTGACCCTTCTCCCCCCCCCCAATTTCGTTAGGTGTAACACGAACTGCTTCGTCGGAGACGGGTGGCATCGGCTGCTGTTGGCGATCGCGTTCGTAGCTGAGGTGGACTTCGGGAACGTCATCCGGGTCAACATCAGCGAGGGGAATAAATTACGGGATGCCTGTTGACATGACAGGTTCGGGAATGTCAGTTGCGGTAGCTTCGGAAGCTTCAGAAACCGCCTCGTCCTGTACATCAGCTTCGGCTTCGTCAGTTGCAAATGCACGCGAGCCTTCGAACAGCCTGGCAGGGTTTGCAGCTGCTGCCTAGTGGGCACGAAAAACTGGCAAGGTGAGTCTTTCATAGAAGAGACGATCACGTGAAGGGACAATTTGGTTTGAACGAAGATCCAAAATCTTCCATGCATGATACTATTTTTCGATGCCGAGGTGTACCCCCCATTTTGCCCGTTCGGAAAATTTGCCGAGTGCTGCAGTTGGAGGACGAAACTGCACGACACACCCAAAAACTCGTAAAAGTTTTGTACTTCCCACTGTTCGTGTCCACTGCAGGTGAGGTGAAGAAAACTCGGGCAGTGATGTGGAAGACAGCAGGTTGTGTAACAGCACCGCGTGGTCCATCGCATACGGCCAAAAGCGAGGAGGAAGGGCTGCCTGCGTCAGCAGAGCACGCATCTTCTCCTGCAGAGTCCGATTCATCCTTTCTGCTACCCCCATCTGTTGGTGTGCATGTGGCAGTGACTGCTTCCGTTTGATGCCGAGTGTCTGGAGGTAGTCTGTGAAAGCGTTGCTCGTGTACTCCCCTGCGCCATCACTCTGGAATTCTTGCAGTTTTGCTCAAGACTCTCTTTCAGCGACGGCGAGCCATGCGACGAAGACTGAATGGGCGAGATGTCGAGCAGGAAGGTTTGCTGTCCAAACATATCGAGTAGATGCTTCGATGAAGGTAATCACGTACAGCTCTTCTTTAGGTCCTGCTTCAGGTAAGTTAAGAATATCGCTGTAGACCTTCTGCATCAGTTTGTAACGAGTGGAGCCAGGAAAATGACTCGAAAACGGGTCGTGGGTAAGATTGGTGACCGGACACGTGGTGCAGACCGTTGGGCGAGACTGCGGTTTCATCTCCGTGCCGTCAGGTAAGAGAAGACTGTTTTTATCAAGAACTGCTGCTCGGATTCAATGATTTAAAATCCCTTGCGATGGATGTCCTAACCGTTGGTGCCAAATTTCTTATGTGGCTTTGTGTCCTGATGATCGCAGATAAAAGTCGGCGTTAGTATAAAATGAAGAAATGATGAAAGGAGAAAGAGCTGGAGACATGTCAATCTCCCCTTCGACGAAACGGGTAAGGGGTAACTGAACATTTGAAGTGTCTGCTGTATTTGCGACTGCAATTTCTGATACTGCTTCTTTTGATGTTACAGTTTGATGGCAGATGGTCCTGCGACAGCTACTGGAAGACTCGGCTGCTCGGCGACTTCTTCTTTCACGGCTTCCTCGACGACTTCGGGTTCATCAGCTGCAAGTCCACTGATTTCTCCCCAAAGTGGAGCTGGAGTTCCTTGGAAGGCTGCACGGGTGTTATAGAAGGTTCGCCAAGCATTGGCGCCTTCATCGGCGGTATTAAACTCCCAAGTATCCAGTGCGGTAAGAACGGCAGCTACAGTTCTAGAAGCTGTTGGTACAGTAGTTGCCCGAAAAACAATATCCACGTGTATATAATATGTTTCTTCTGGGTGACCCCAGGGACCGAGACCAAGGACGCGTTCAGAATCACCAGAGGTGCCCTGTGCTGTGAACTGAAGAACTGATACTCCATGTTGAGTAGCAGCGCGACCGAGGTAAGTATTTGATAAACTGTGCCATAACTCCTGATCCATTGTATCACAATTCCCTTGTGTGCGAATCTTGTGTGCCAGGAGTTGAGCTGTGGAGAGAAGATTGAAACCAAGGCTGGCGACGATAGGAACATTGGTAACGTGTAAGGAATATCCCGTGTCGACTGATTCAAGTATTACACTCCCAATAGATCTTGCCATAATGGTTTGTCCGTTTGCAACTGTGACTGTTATCGGACGATGAAGAGGACACTGGTTGGTGATGACGCTTGTTTCAGCGGAGCACATGTGCCAACCGCAACAGCTGTCGAGATACCAAGTATTGGGTCCTGAAATGACTCGAGCAAGGTTAGCGTAAACTTGCGGTAAGGGAATGCCCTCTGCACTGGTGGTTTCTTCAAGTTGTGTCTCGAAATCTGTATCTGAAATATCAACTGTTGTAACACATCCAAAAACCCCTTTTCCTGATGTTGCAGATGCAAAGACCGGAGGACGATGCTGTGATGGCGGTGTACTCTGCGGCATCTGCTGCGTCTGGGACGTCGACTGCTGCATTTGCTGATGTGGCTTCGGTAACTGCTGCGAACGATGATATGGTTGCGAAGTGCTGCGACGGTTTTGACAACGACTGCGACAAGTTTGGTAAGTATGTCCTGGTTTCTTGCAGAAATGGCAGAAGGGATATTTCGGGGGAAGTCGTTGCTGTGGCTCTGGATTTGAGTAAAAACTTAATTGTAATCCTTTCTTCTGATTGCGTTGTGACTGCAGGTCAAGATCTTGCTGTTCCGCTTGAAGATACGACGAAATTTCGGTTTCTGAGAGGTTCGGATTCATGCGCAAGAAGGCGCGCGTCTGTCGCCACTCGGGACCAAGTCCAGCAAGAAGGACCATGAGATACATCTCACGAGGGAAGTATCCTCCACTCTTCTCCAGTTGATCTTGTAGTGTGCGAACACGATTGACGTAATCCATGACATTCTCGTTTGTCATCATCTGCACACTTGTCAGCTGCGAAAGAATCTTACTTGCTGTTATTGTGTCTTTTGCCATGTACACCCCCTTTAAGTGGTTCCATGCAGTTTCAGCTGGCGTGAAGCTTGAATGAAAAGATCGAACGCCAAGCTGCTCCTTTGGCGACAGGTTCCGAACTAGAACCGTATACGCCCCGAGAGAGGCGTGCAGGAAACTCTGTTGCTCCAGTTGTGTTCCCATGACAGGATACGTAAACTCGCCGGTGAAGAACGGCCATAGCCCAGCGAACTGCGCCAGAAGCTCAAACTCGAAGCTCCAGGAGTAAAATTCAACTCCGTTAAAAGGTATAGTAGTCTTGATCTGCGTGCTGGTAAGTAGATTTGGCGGTTGAAAAATAATCCCCTGTTGTTGAGGTTGTTGCTGTTGCTGGAATTGCTGTGGATGCTGCAGTTGTTGCTGTTGTTGCTGATGTTGCTGTTGCTGTTGTTGTTGCTGAGCAGGTGATCGCCCGAAGATGTAAAAGGGCTGCTGCTGCTGCGACTGCGGCTGCTGCGTAAACGGCGAGAAGGCAAATGAGCCAGTACTTGGAGCTGAAGCTCCACGCATGTAACTTGAGCCGTCAAGGCTCATTCCACTAAACGCTGACGATATTGACTGTGTTGAAAACTGCTGTGGTGTTGCTTGTTGCTGTGCTGTTGCCTGATGTTGTGCTGTTGCCTGTGTTTGTTGTTGTTGCGCTGTACGTGCAGTCGATGAAACACCTGGAGTACTGACAGAAGGCGGATTCTGCTGCTGCATACTGATGTGCGCATAAGCCAGTGGAAACGGTCCAGAGGCTGAGAGACCAGTGGCGGTCGTGGAGACAGGTACTCCAGTAGTTCCAGAACTGGATCCGGTAGATGGTGCTGGTGATGTCCCAGTCATTGTTGACAGTAGTCTTAAATCCAGATAGCTCTCATACCATGTAATAATTTGACAGGTGTTGCACGAGACTAAGTGTAGAATCTGCAAACACAAACACTTGGAAAACCTCAAGTGTTAGCCTAGGATCTTTACTGGAATGGTAGACAAGTAAGACAGTGGAAGTCTTTGTAAGAATGAACCTGAGTATATAATTCAGTTGAAGTCAAGTTTAAAGTCTCAAAGTTGAAATCTCAAGGTGAACAATAGAAAGGCATAACAAGGATTTTATAGCTCTAGGAAAGTACCTGTTCGCTAATGTACCTGTTCGCTAATGTACCTGTTCGTCACTATCGCGCTATGCGCCCTAAATGATAATGAAGAGACGCGACTATTCGCGTGACTGAAACGACTGTCCTCATGACGAGCGCTATTTGCTGACGTCATCCCATAGACTTATATTCTATAGTAGGATTCGACACTATCTACCGATAATCGACTTACAGAAATGCTAAGTATGCATTATATCACAACAAACACTACCCCTTATCTAGCCTAGGAGGTGTGTCAACTTATACATATATTTGTATGTAGAAGTTATAGGCTAGATAGGTGTGTATTCTTAGAGGGTACAACTCCAACCCTATATCTCCCTTGTTCACCCTTGTTTCTAGTCATTCTTGTATTCTAACAGTTTGACCTGTATTGAAATCTAGCCTGACGATTCAGTTTAATTAGAACGGGCGAAAGGAAGGATACTAATGTGCTGTGAATAATGCGGTTTTTTCCTATGCGCCAATTGCGTGTAATAAGCAGGTGCATTTGTTTAGGCGCAACATTGTTTTATGTAAACACGTGCTTATGCAGAGGTTCTTATACATATTTGTGATTGTATGGAAGTTCCGTTTATTAATACGACTTAGTCAAAATGTAATTTACATTATTCAAGATTGTTATACAATCACAATGTGGGCTTTAAACTGCGCAATAACGAGTACAGCGTACTGTAATCACAAACGAATCATCAGCATTACAGCTTGGATTCGCCAATCAATCCTCGAGGAGTGTCCGCGTTCATTCCCCGATGAAACTCCCAGTATGCCGAGGACTGCCCTTGAATATTTTTTGTCTTTCTAGGGGATATACTGACGCGTCACCCAAGTGTCAATTTTGTGACTTCCGGCCCGATTTGTTTTGTGACGGTCCTCATACGTGCCAAAGAAGGGCCGAATCTACAGAGGAAATTACTATGTCAATGTAGCATATGATCCATTGTGTGTATCTTTCCGTATTTCGCCATGAGAAGGGACGGAGTGGGCGAGCTCCCTAGGAGATGGCTTCTGTACAAGGCAATGCATTGGTGGGGTTGGAAAATGGGCGCGAGAGATCGAAAATGGGTGGTGGGCGAGTGAAAGGGGGCGACAGGGGAAGCAAAAGGGCGTGACGGGACAGAGGCGAAGGAAGAGGGGAAGGGTAAAGCGAAGTTGAATAATGGAAGAGTTTCATGATGGGTGTTTTATAGGCTAGTAGTGTGCGCCCACCAGGACATGGGTGTGGGACAGGACATGGGTGTGTGACAAGACATGGGTGTGTGACAGGACATGGGTGTGTGACAGGCCATGGGTGTGTGACCGGCCATGGGTGTGTGACAGGCCATGGGTGTGTGACAGGCCATGGGTGTGTGACAGGCCATGGGTGTGTGACAGGCCATGGGTGTGTGACAGGCCATGGGTGTGTGACAGGCCATGGGTGTGTGACAGGACATGGGTGTGTGACAGGCCAAGGGTGTGTGACACGCCAAGGGTGTGTGACAGACCATGGGTGTGTGATAGGACATGGGTGTGTGACAGGCCATGGGTGTGTGACAGGCCATGGGTGTGTGACAGGTCATGGGTGTGTGACAGGACATGGGTGTGTGACAGGGCATGGGTGTGTGACAGGCCATGGGTGTGTGACAAGACATCGGTGTGTGACAGGCCATGGGTGTGTGACAGACCATGGGTGTGTGACAGGCCATGGGTGTGTGATAGGCCATGTGTGTGCGACAGGACATGGGTGTGTGACAGGCCATGTGTGTGTGACAGGCCATGGGTGTGTGACAGGCCATGGGTGTGGGACAAGACTTGAAAAGTAGTCATGGGAATGCGAGCAATGAAGGGCGTGCATGCGTGCATGCATGCATGGGCGTGTGTGCATATGTGCATAGGTTTGTGTGCAATCATGTAACTAGAGTTTCTGGTCTCGAGGCTGGTGAGGAAGACACGAAATTTGCAGGACAACCTGATTCGATAGCAGACATGACCTAACAAACCCTATATTCGATAACAGATCCTTCGTTGATCAAACCAATTCTGTTCAGTGAATTGAGGCATACTGCAGTGGGTGTAGATTCCTCGCAAAAAATCCACTCATGCTGGTTTAGTTTTTGGGTAAGAACAAAAGGCGTGGCAAAGAAAAGGTTCGGTAATCGTATCAGCAATCTTCTGACATAGGGTTTCCTAATGGGGTAGCAACGTTATTCTGGGATGCCGAGGAAAGGAGAGGGGTCATAACCACTATTTCCTAACAAACGTGGATAGCAAGTCCGGAAAACTTAGGTACATGATGTCCTAACCTCACCTTACTCCGACAGTGAACCTAATATAACCACAGGGAATGGTGATTCGGGCATGAGAGTGAGGCAGCGTGATTTAGCGATGAGAGTGTGGCATGGTGATTCAGGGAAGAGAGTGAGGCATGGTGAATGAGGCATCAGAGTTCGAAAGCATCAAAAGTTGTTATCTTGATATGCAATAAGAATCTGGCGACATATTATGACAAAGGAACCTGACTAAGGGTGAATCTGACAATTGGGATTCGACTGTTGATTCCTGAGATGGGAATCTGACAATGAGGTCAGTCATGGAACGTCGGCACTGGGAATTGTAAACGGGAATCTAAAATTGCAATTCTGACAATAGAGAACTGACTACGGGGATTGGAGAATTCGAACCTGACATGGAAAAATGAAGCGGGAACATGACATGAGTATATGCCATGGATAAGTAACAACGGAAATCTGACAATGGGAATCATCTGGCTCAGAAATCTGACATAGAATTCTGACAGTGAGAATCTGACAGTAAGAATTGAACAAAGGGGAATATATAGGATTCGGGCAGCTGCAACGTAGTCAGCATTGAACGTAGTCAGCTGGAATCTGGGGAAAACAAATTGAAGTGAGAATCTGACCACGTGAATTGGACAATGGAATGTGGCTGTGGGTGAATGTGACAATGAGATTCTGACAAATGAATCCGATACGGAAATCTGACAATGGAAGTCTGGCATGGAAAGTTGGCACTGGAGAATTGGAAATAGGAATCTGAAAGCGGGAATCTGAGATTGGAAATGACAATGGGAAATAGATTATACTTACCTGACATGCAAAAATAATATACCATGGGTATACGAGCGCATATGTGACAACGGAAATTTGACCTGGGGCTTGGGAATCTAACTTGGGAATCTGACCTGGGAATCTGACCTGGAAAGCTGAGGTGGGAATCTGGCTTGGGAATCGGACTTGGAAAGCTGACTTGGGATTCTGACTAGGAAATCTGACTTGGGAATCTCACCAGAAAATCTCACCTTCAAATCTGACTTGGGGTTCTGACTGATTTGGGAAACTGACAGACCTTGGAATCTGACTTGGGGATCTAACCTAGGAATCTGATCTAGGAATCTGACCTGGCATTGTGACCTGGGAATGTGACCTGGGAATCTGATTTGGGAATGTGACTCGGTAATCCGACTTGAGATTCTGACTCAGAAATCTGACTTGGAAATCTCACCAGGGAATTTGACAGGAACTTTATGGGATCCTGATAAAGGGAAAGAAATTTTGGAGTGAAATTAATATGCTCATGGCAATAATTCGGAATCTGACCTGGAAATCTGGCTCAAGAATGTGACTTGGGATTCTGACTTGCAAATCTGACCAGGGAATCTGACCTGGGAATCTCACCTGGGAATCTGACCTGGAAATCTGACCTGCGAGTCTGACCTGGGAATCTGACTTGGGAATCTTAATTGAGCATCTGACTCCGGGCCGACCTGGAAATCTGACCTGGGAATTTGACTTGGGAATCTAACTTGGGAATTTCACAAACGAATCTGACTTGGGGGAATCTGACTCGGGAGCATCACCTGCGAATCTCACGTGCGAATGTGACCTGAGAATGTGACCTGGGAATCTGACTTGGGAATCTGACCTGGGATTCTGACCTGGGAATGTGACCTCGGGAATCTGACCTGGGCAGCTAACCTAGGAATATGACCTGGGAATGTGACTTGGGAATCTGACTCAGGAATCTCACCTGGGAATCTCACCTGGGAATCTCACCTGGGAATCTCACCTTGGATTGTCACCTGGGAATCTGACCTGGAAATCTGACCTGGGAATCTGACCTGGAAATCTGACCTGGGAATGTGACCTGGGAATCTGACTTGGGAATCTGACGTGGGAATCTGACTAGGGAATCTGACTAGGGAATCTGACTTGGGAATCTGACCAGGGAATCTGACCTGGGAATCTGACTTGGGAATCTGACTTGGGAATTTCACATAGGAATCTGACTTGGGGGAATCTGACTCGGGAACATCACCTGCGAATTTCACGTGGGAATCTGACCTGGGAATCTGACCTGGGATTCTGACCTGGGAATGTGACCTTGGGAATCTGACCTGGGCAGCTGACCTAGGAATATGACCTGGGAATGTGACCTGGGAATCTGACTTGGGAATCCGACCGACCTGGGAAACTGACTGACTTGGGAATGTGACCTGGGAATCTGACCTGGGAATATGACTTGGGAATCGGACTTGGCAATCTGACTCAGGAATCTCACCTGGGAATCTCACCTGGGAATCTCACCTGGGAATCTCACCTTGGATTCTCACCTGGGAATCTGACCTGGAAATCTGACCTGGGAATCTGACCTGGAAATCTGACCTGGGAATGTGACCTGGGAATCTGACTTGGGAATCTGACGTGGGAATCTGACTAGGGAATCTGACTTGGGAATTTGACATGGGAATCTGACCTGGGAATCGGACCTGTGAGTCTGTCTCGGGTATGTAACTTGGGAATCTGGCTTGGGAATCGGACTAGGGAATCTGACTCAGGAACCTGACATGGGTGTCTGACTCCGGAATCTGACTCAGTAATTTGTCTCGGGGCATCTGACTTGGGAATTTGGCTTGGGAATCTGAGCTGGGAATCTGACTTGGGAATCTGACCTGGGAATTTGACTTGGGCATCTAACTTGGGAATTTCACATAGGAATCTGACTTTGGGGACTCTGACTCGGGAACATCACCTGCGAATCTCACGTGGGAATGTGACCTGGGAATGTGACCTGGGAATCTGACCTGGGAATCTTACATGGGAAGCTGACCTGGGAATCTGACCTGGGAATATGATTTGGGAATCCGACTCAGGAATCTGACTCAGGAATCTCACCTGGGAATCTATCCTGTGAATCTCACCTGTGAATCTCACCTGGGAATCTCACCTGGGATTCTCACCTGGGAATCTGACCTGGGAATCTTACTCAGGAATCTGACAAGGGAATCTGACTCAGGAATTTGACATGGAAACCTGACCTGGGAAACGGACCTGTGAATCTCTCGGGTATGTGACTCGGGAATCTGACTTGGTAATCTGACTGGGGAATCTGACTTGGGAATTGGACCTGTGTATCTGTCTCCGGTATGTGACTCAGGAGTCTGACTTGGGAATCTGACCTGGGAATGTGACCTTGGGAACATGACCTGGGCATCTGAGCTGGTAATGTGACTTGGGAATGTGACCTGAGAATCTAACTTGTCAATCTGACTGACCTGGGAAACTGACCGACTTGGGAATGTGACCTGGGAATCTGACCTGGGAATATGACTTTGGAATGTGACTCAGGAATCTGACTCAGGAATCTCACCTGGGAATCTAACTTGGGAATCTCACCTGGGAATCTCACCTGGGATTCTCACCTAGGAATCTGACCTCGGAATCTGACCTGGGAATCTGACCTGTGAATCGGACCTGTGAATCTGTCTCGGGTATGTAACTTGGGAGTCTCGCTTGGGAATCGGACCAGGGAATCTGACTAAGGGACCTGACATGGGAGTCTGAGTCCGGAATCCGACTCAGTAATCTGACTCGGGCATCTGACTTGGGAATCTGACTTGGGAATCTGACTGGGGAATCTAACTTGGGAATCTGACTCGAGAATCCGACTTCTGAATCTGACACGGGAATCTGACTGGGGAATCTTACTTGGGAATCTGAACTGGGAATCTGTCTTGGGAATCTGACTTGGTTATCTGACTGCGGAATCTGACTTGGGAATCTGACCTTGGAATCGGACCTGTGAATCTGTCTCGGGTATGTGACTCTGGAGTCTGACTCGGAAATCTGATTGGGAACAGATGAACGAGTTATTAATGGCAAGAGAAGAAAACGGAGCAGGGAAGACAGGAAGTGAGAGAAAGACCGACCTAGATCGTCAAAAGATGAGCAAAAGTTGTAGAAATGGGAGAAGGGAAGGGTAGACGAATGGAGGTGAGAAGGTGAAAAGTAATGGGCGTGAAATGATGGGGGGTGGACGAATGGAGGAGGAAATTCAGATTGTAAGCAATGTTGAGGGTAACACATTAGTAATAGCAATGACAACGACACCAGTGACGATCACTGGGATGACAGCGGCAAAAGCGGAGTGCAGCAGGAGCTCGCGGGCAGAGGGACGGCTTCTTGCTGATGTTTCTACTCCCCCCAGTGCCCCTGCTTGGAGCGCAGCTGGAGCTCGCGCGCTGCAAGTTGCAACACGCGGTGGAAGCCTCCGCACCGCATAGGCGCAGGCAGAAGCAGCAAAGGCGCAAGCAACACAAGTGCAGACGCTTGGACCAACCGCCACCACCACCTCACCTTCTCCAGTCAAGGCTTTTGGTGACTTTCAGTGACATTCATTGCCACCTGGCAGCTGTTCATAGGCTGCGATGGCGAGGGGAGGGTGGGAGGGGAGATAGCAGGGCAGGAGGGACGAGGGTTGAGGATAGTAGGGAGGCGGGCGTAGAAAAGGGGGAAGGAAGCTGCTTGGAGCTAGCCTCCTGTTCAGACGACCATTCTGTAAGGTTGTTTCAAATCAACGCGCATTCTGTGTAACAGCGACACTCTTTCTTTATCTGGTGTAATTTCCTATCCAACCTGTAGCGCCTCTATTCCTAGCTTCCATATCGTAATTTGAAGAGACTCTAATCAGGATGCATGGACAAGGACAGCATCATCGGAGAAGAGGGGGGCGAGTTTTGGTACTTGCTTTTGTGTTGCGGGGGTCTCGCCAGTTTGGGGTGAGACCCTCGGAACTTCCTGGCCAGTTGTTTGCGATTTCTTGGTAGGTCGTCATTGGTGGAATCTTGACACGGTGGACTGGATGCACGCGAGTTGCCCTGATTGGCGAGAGGTTCACAACACGTTTTCGCAAGGGGGGCAACCTGCCCTTTTTAGCTGGTCGTTGGAAATTCTTAATCAACACAATTGCGATAAGCCTAACCTTGAGGCGGGTACATCGCCACAGACTGAACTGACTCTACATTCGTTTTTAAAAAATGTATAAACAGCTTCATTACGTCATACATTATTGCACTTTGTATTACAACTGATTTCCGTCATTCGTCGAATTATTTTGTGCTAAATCGGAAAAATATTTGTTTTGAAGATTTGTTTACAAAGGTAATTCGACATGTGTTCTAAGTTGTTTGGAATAGTTTACATTGCAATAACGCATAACGGCGTTTCTAGACGACGCTATTTGTTATTGTAAGTCTTGTAGAGCTTTTCCTTGTTTTGTTGAGTCTTTTTATGGCAACGTAATATGCTTGTTTTTGCATATAGTGACGAGTTTTTGTTGTTGCATATGCAGTGTTCTGTGCGTTTTATTGACAGTGTGCTGCCCGCCACAGCACAGCGCAACTTTGGTTGGCTCGCGCCGCCCAACAAGATCTGGCGCGAGAGGCATATCCAGCAGTTTGGGTCCTACTTCCCGGCCCGTCACGCAACGGCCAGCGTGTCAAGTCAGGGCTAGCGTGTCAGAGTCTGAGTGGCCCAATCATCGCATGGCGAGAAGTTTCGATCAACAGGGGGGAGCAGCCCAGTGATAGCTGTTGCTGCGACCAATTATAATCCTGCGTGACGTGGTGTTATTGGTTGAAATGAATAGTTAACCAGTATTGCAAAGCCACGTCGTCTGGACCCATGATGGCATTTTTCTTCGCGAGCACTCGAATTCTCACCTTCTTCTCCAACCCCGTCTTGCTTCAGTGCAAGGGTCAAGCCTTCCTAAGCTGACTCTGGTACAAGGAAAGAGGCGTTTTAGGAAGCTGCGCGTTAGATGAATTTGCCACCAGCGGCGGCACCTGTACACCCCAATTCTGGATTAGTAACTCGTACTCCAGCCGCTCCTAATGCGCTATTTTAATTTCCAGCCGAGATGTACACCAGGTATGTAGGACGTTTCCTGAGCAGATTCGTTTCCTATTAAATAACACATGTTTAATTAGATTCCTGTCTCATTTCCTCCAGTAGGACAATATAGTGTCCAGCCTAGATGGTTCTTCAAGCGAAATTCCTCAAGAGGCCGCGTTAATTGATTGCTTGCGCTCCAAGGTCCTAGCATGGATTTAAGTAGTGCTCTGATCCTACTCACGTGGTCGCTACTCCTAGTTGTACACAGCCATTCCTCGGTAATAGGATTGGTGCGTATGGATGGAGTTAGGAATCTCCCCATCGCTTGTGGTGAACCGGGTTGCATTGAGAGGTTCTCCTGTCCTAACGAGAGACTACTGCACCGCCGACAGAAAATACATACGTTTCCAGAGCAACCAGCAGGGCAACAAGCACCTAGCTTCCGCGATCTAGAGGCTTTACAGGAGGTAATAGAGCAGACAACAGCTGATCGTCGCACCAAGCGTAGAGCTAGTGTGCCTAATGAAGGGGACTGTATTCCCAATGGACCATGTCCTTCGAGAGATTCACGCCCCAACATGGACGCGAGTGGATGCGGCGTGGCGCACGAGAAGAACCCGAAGAAAACGTCCACAGATAAGCGCTTTTTTGTATTCTGCAAAAAAACAGCAGGAGGCATGGGGTTATCTCGGCCAGAAATTGCAGAGCTGGTAGATATTATGAAGAGCAGTCAGTTAGATCCTTGCACTTTCGAATCATTGGCGGACGTTGACCGTTTTGAGGAGAAGGAAGCTGGTGGTGTGGTGATGGAGAAATTCAGGGATAGTGATCTAGCATCTCCCTCAGATCGGAAGCCGATCATGCTGCGATGGCGTTCCTTGTGGTCTTGCGCCAAGAATTTATACAGCAATCCTGCAAATGCAGTAGACTTTATTGCACACCCTCAACCATTAGTTGCAGAAGCGGATAGGGTGTACCGAGATCCTGATAGTGGTACCTGGTGGTGGTTTGCACAGCAAGATCTGCCGGAGGGTGCATCTGTTGTAGCTCTAATTGTGTACTCCGATGAAACCAACCTCTCGAAAGATGGATCAGTCACCGGTTGGCCAGTGTACGTGTCGCTGGCCAACATTTCATCTGGAAATCGCTGGAAACCACATGGAAGGCGCCTTGTAGCTCTGCTACCGAAGGTGACTGAAGACATGCTTGCCCCTGGTAGCTGCATCGTCCGAAGACGCATGGAGATCTTTCAACAGGCTCTGGACATGATTATGGGAGACTGCATGGCAGCTGCAGACAAGGGAGAACCAGTGCTTGACCCATACGGCATTCGACGTATGGCATATCCATTGTTGTATGCATATGTTGGAGACTACCCGGAACAGTGCAAGGTTGCAGGAACCAAGTCTGGACACTCAACCAATTTTCCCTGCCCTCGCTGCATGGTGCACCGGAAGCAGCTGGCAAAGACAGAAATGCGGGCACAGCGAACGGTGGCAGCACAGAAGCACACATGGATGGAAATGGGGTGCCTTCGTCAACCTACTGATCTCCTGAGGCTGGAAACAGCCAACAGTCAACACCATGTGCATGTGAGTTACGGGTGGGGATGGAAGGGGGGAAAGGGGTGAAGGGATGCGAGGAGAGGGAAGGTGGGACGGGCAGAGAGGGATGAAGGAATGGGCAGAATGATATGAAGGAATGGGCAGAGAGGGATGAAGGAATGGGCAGAGAGGGATGAAGGTATGGGCAGAGAGGGATGAAGGTATGGGCAGAGAGGGATGAAGGTATGGGCAGAGAGGGATGAAGGTATGGGCGGAGAGGGATGAAGGTATGGGCGGAGAGGGATGAAGGTATGGGCAGAGAGGGATGAAGGTATGGGCAGAGAGGGATGAAGGTATGGGCAGAGAGGGATGAAGGTATGGGTAGAGAGGGATGAAGGTATGGGCAGAGAGGGATGAAGGTATGGGCAGAGAGGGATGAAGGTATGGGCAGAGAGGGATGAAGGTATGGGCGGAGAGGGATGAAGGTATGGGCGGAGAGGGATGAAGGTATGGGCGGAGAGGGATGAAGGTATGGGCGGAGAGGGATGAAGGTATGGGCAGAGAGGGATGAAGGTATGGGCGGAGAGGGATGAAGGTATGGGCAGAGAGGGATGAAGGTATGGGCAGAGAGGGATGAAGGTATGGGCAGAGAGGGATGAAGGTATGAGCAGAGAGGGATGAAGGTATGGGCAGAGAGGGATGAAGGTATGGGCGGAGAGGGATGAAGGTATGGGCAGAGAGGGATGAAGGTATGGGCGGAGAGGGATGAAGGTATGGGCAGAGAGGGATGAAGGTATGGGCAGAGAGGGATGAAGGTATGGGCAGAGAGGGATGAAGGTATGGGCAGAGAGGGATGAAGGTATGGGCAGAGAGGGATGAAGGTATGGGCGGAGAGGGATGAAGGTATGGGCAGAGAGGGATGAAGGTATGGGCAGAGAGGGATGAAGGTATGAGCAGAGAGGGATGAAGGTATGGGCAGAGAGGGATGAAGGTATGGGCAGAGAGGGATGAAGGTATGGGCAGAGAGGGATGAAGGTATGGGCAGAGAGGGATGAAGGTATGGGCAGAGAGGGATGAAGGTATGGGCAGAGAGGGATGAAGGTATGGGCGGAGAGGGATGAAGGTATGGGCAGAGAGGGATGAAGGTATGGGCAGAGAGGGATGAAGGTATGGGCGGAGAGGGATGAAGGTATGGGCGGAGAGGGATGAAGGTATGGGCAGAGAGGGATGAAGGTATGGGCGGAGAGGGATGAAGGTATGGGCGGAGAGGGATGAAGGTATGGGCGGAGAGGGATGAAGGTATGGGCAGAGAGGGATGAAGGTATGGGCGGAGAGGGATGAAGGTATGGGCGGAGAGGGATGAAGGTATGGGCGGAGAGGGATGAAGGTATGGGCGGAGAGGGATGAAGGTATGGGCAGAGAGGGATGAAGGTATGGGCAGAGAGGGATGAAGGTATGGGCAGAGAGGGATGAAGGTATGGGCAGAGAGGGATGAAGGTATGGGCAGAGAGGGATGAAGGTATGGGCAGAGAGGGATGAAGGTATGGGCAGAGAGGGATGAAGGTATGGGCGGAGAGGGATGAAGGTATGGGCGGAGAGGGATGAAGGTATGGGCGGAGAGGGATGAAGGTATGGGCGGAGAGGGATGAAGGTATGGGCAGAGAGGGATGAAGGTATGGGCAGAGAGGGATGAAGGTATGGGCAGAGAGGGATGAAGGTATGAGCAGAGAGGGATGAAGGTATGGGCAGAGAGGGATGAAGGGATGGGCAGAGAATGCTGTTTCTTGTTGGATTTCAGACATGGGGGATTTGGTGGGTACAAGAATGAGAGTGCCATTACTTTTATACTTCCTGTAATTCCCCCAAACAGGTGTGGCTGTGGAGATTTCCACAAGGAAACACCGAATGGGGTAACCCTTACCGCGCTTTGATGTGCGACGTGATGCACATGTCCCCACTTGGAGTGTTTAAACACATGGTAGATTCTCTCCGAAACATCCTCAAGGGGGGCAGGGGGGAAGTTGACAAGCGGCCACTGTTCGATGATGCACTTTGTCGCATCACTGAGTACAGTAGACAATCGTTCTTCCGCCTACCAGGGAAGGGGAAGAGGTATTTCGCAAATGTTGGCACATTTTATGCATTCGAACATCAAGCAGTGATGCAGGTTCTGCCTGTGCTCCTTCAACAGATGGGGGCAAAAAAGGAGCTGGTAGAGACTGTTTCGATGTATGTCTACTGGCACTCGGAGGTGTGGTTGCGACCCTATCATACAGAGGCGACGTTGATACACCTCGCGTCCCTCACAGGATTGTAAGTGCACACTTGTGATGTGATTATTATTTAGGCATCATTATCTTTAAGTCTACTAGACTCCGATGTGCATCCCACCACTCCTCTTTCCATCACTTTCATACCACGTACAAGCCCAAGGGTCCGATCATTGCAAACTCATGATCGTGTTCTTTGCAATAAGGTTCCATGGCATTTCCCTATATTGCTCCCACCCCAGGCTGATCCCTCTCCTTATCACTCACTTTGGAGCCGGACAAAAGTCAGAGTTCATGATTCCAAAAGTGCACGCGATGGTGCATGTTCCAGAGGATATCCGTCGTGGCGGTTTGCCAGTACACTACTGCACCGATTTTTACGAGCATCTTCACATCTCCATGATGAAGAGACCATATCGTGGGAGCAACAAGAAGAATTATGAGGAGCACATCACACGTCGTGCTCTGGTTGGCGAGCTTGTAGATGCAATAACTAGGGACGATGAGGACAAGGAGGATGCGGAAGTTAGAGCTGTAGCTCTACGTGTGGTGAGTTTGCCAATGGCTGTCCTCTCTGCCCATCCCTTTTTCCCTCTCATCCCATCCTCTTATTATTCGGCCAGGTGCGTCCCTTCATCCCTCTGATCCCGTCCCTTCATCCCTCTGATCCCGTCCCTTCTTCCCTCTGATCCCATCCCTTGCTCCCTCTGATCCCGTCCCTTCATCCCTCTGATCCCATCCCTTGCTCCCTCTGATCCCGTCCCTTCATCCCTCTGATCCCATCCTCTTATCCCCACCATCCCCATCCCTTCATCCCTCTCATCCCATCCCTTGCTCCCTCTGATCCCGTCCCTTCTTCCCTCTGATCCCATCCCTTGCTCCCTCTGATCCCGTCCCTTCATCCCTCTGATCCCGTCCCTTCATCCCTCTGATCCCGTCCCTTGCTCCCTCTGATCCCGTCCCTTCATCCCTCTGATCCCATCCTCTTATCCCCACCATCCCCATCCCTTCATCCCTCTCATCCCGTCCCTTGCTCCCTCTGATCCCGTCCCTTCTTCCCTCTGATCCCATCGTCTTATCCCCACCATCCCCATCCCTTGTTCCCTCTCATCCCATCCCTTGTTCCCTCTCATCCCATCCCTTGTTCCCTCTCATCCCATCCCTTGTTCCCTCTCATCCCATCCCTTGTTCCCTCTCATCGCTCTCAGCCCACCCATCCCATCCCCGTATTCGTGTTCTTCTCATCACTCTCTACCAGGCTTTGGAGAGTGGAACGCCAACTGTCACAGGTCGGAATGGTCAGATCAACATGGACAAGCCAACTGGCAACCATTGGCAGCAACTGTGTGCCACTGCTCCTGGGGACATGGACCGTTTACAACCAACCATTCGAGGATCGCTGTTGGCTGGAGAAACATGCGATGCCACCATTCACCTGCACACCGGTGTAGGTATCCCAGGACGTGAGAACTATGATTTGTACAGCAGGCATGCTCAGTATGCCAGAGCCACACCTTCATTCTACGGGAAACCTTGGTACTCTGATGTATCTAGAAAGGAGGCAGTGGCAGGACGGGTCCATCGCGTGCGTTTTGGCAAGCTGCTGCTCATGTTCACCCTTACAAAAACCACCATGCTGACAGAGAATGGGGTTCAGGTCAAAGAGATTATGCAAGACCAGATGGGCTTCATCAGGAACTATGAGAGCACAGGCCCTACTGAAGATTATGACTTGGAGAGGTTGGTTTGGAGCGCAGGGGTAGACGAGTACTCTGTTTTTTCCCATTTCCCACATCCTGCGCACTCTGCATGTGGTCCCTACATCTCCAGACCCCAAAGCACCTAGCGCCACCTTTATTTTGAACACGTTTAGGCGATAAGCACATAGACCTAGTTCGCAATGGAATTGCTTGGTCAGCGTAGCGCTTAAGACATATATCTTGTGTTCTGGTGGGTTTATTATTAACACCGATGGAGGCAGATTACTTGTGCAAACCCACGAAGCATTTTGCAATTTCAACATAGACGATATTGTTAAATAATGATCATATAATTAAAATATTGTGTCTTCTTTCCAGTGCAGTTTAGTATGGTTGTGTAGGGTGTTTGTGGGAAAAGTACGTCTCGGACGCGCTATAGGAACGCCCCATTCAGCGCTGTGAGGTGCTGTTCGGCTGGTGCGTTTTTGCGCCAACGGCCCGCAACCGCGGAGACAGGTGAGGTGAGGTGGCAGCGGGACTACAAGAAATATTCGGCCAGGTGCGTTTTGTCTGTAGCCGACTGTAAAAGCGCCACATCAGCACCCCTTCCCCCCAACAGCGAGAACCAAACCAGGCTTGTAAGGTTTTGGCGCAAACGCTTTGCTGCTTTGAGTTGCGCGTGGAAAACCTGACCCCAAGCAGGCCTCTGCAAGTCAGGGTAATTACGCTGGGTTGTCATGGAAAAACAGGGTAAAACCACGTACGAGCTGGTCGAAACTCTGGCATGCGAAAACAGTCAGAAGTTCTAGGGCTACCCAGATTGGACGAGTTGGATCCCGCGGAACACGTCCGAATTGTGGCCGTACTGCACTGACATACGCGTTTTGTAAACTATAGTCTCGATTGCTGTCCAACTCGACAGTGTGTGACTGGTGCATCGTGCACTGCCCAACCGAGAACAAAAAGAAAAAACACAGACCAACTTTCTGCCACTTCCGTGTCAGTCCCCCTTCGCCTAAAAAAACTCCTCTGCCTTGCTAGGGTTTGGCTGCCAACCAGCCAAACCCACAACGCCAACCGCAGCTGTGTTTGCAATTTCAAACTCGAGGTTTGAACTTCTAACTTCTAACTTCGAACTTCGAACTTCACACTTCAGACTTGAAACTTCGAACGCTGAGCCCACAACCCACTTGTACAAAGAGCCGCCGTCGGCAAAACCCATTTTTCCCGCCATCCGCCCCACCCCCTGAAATCCTGTACAGAGCGAAATGTGATATAAACAAGCTCAGAGATAGTTCTAGGGTGCTTCGTCTCGTGGAGTCACGATTCTCAAGTTTCAGCTCACCAGGTGTGACCCTTGTTTTCTATAAAAGCTTAGTCGCCCAACCATTGTCATCAGCGCAAGACCTTTACAAGTTCTCTCCAGTTCTTTCATAGTATTCTCACGCCACACTCTCTTTTATTTCACGATGGCCCCTAAGGGAAACCAAGTTCCACCAGAGGTGCTCGCAATGGCACAACGTCAGCAGCCCAGCCGTGGCACGAAGAGCAAACATGCGACCCTCGGCGGTCATTACAAGGATCAAGGTACTTACTGCCTTCCTCTTTTGGCACATTCCGGTTGATTCCCTTCGCACAGTTTTTGCGACTAACCCTTATTTCCCGCAATTTCAGGAGGTCTGGCTGAAGCACAGACTGAGAGCGGTGGCCAGTCATTTGCTGGCGAGATTGTTGGGCTGCAGTTACCTGATATGGGACCGCCTGCACTGGCAACTGGCAGAAGTGGCGTGAGGAGCCTCAGCGCTGTTCTGCAGCAGGCCCCTCGTGCGCCTTCCCCTTGCAACGTTGCGAGTAACAATGGTACGAATGTCCCCTTGCCTTGGGTCCGCACGCTTTTACCCCATGCTAACTTGTATCTTGTCATTCACCAATGCAGATTCGGGGATCAACGGTGAGGTCAACCATGAAGCCCCCGCTTCTGTGTCACATCTTCCAGCCAGCCCAGCCAGGCTCCCAGCCCAGCCTCCTGCTGCCTCAACGCCTGTCCATGCTCCTCCCACGCTTGGTGCAACTGGTGATGCCTCAATTCCAGCAGCTGCCACGGCCTTCACGGCAGCGGAGGCGAACCAGCAAACGGATGAGGATGAGGCGATCATCATGCCTACAGGTAGACTTTGCTCCTGTTCATTCCGCCCTTTAGTTTGCAGCTAAACCCGATGACTAACCCAATTCTGGTGGTTCTTGCAGCTTATACCGCCGTTGGTACCCGGCTCTTTAAGCGAGCCGCTGGCGTTGAGACAAACGGCGGGGTGGATCTGCTTTACAGCGAGAAAGGCCGGAAGATGTCAAGGCTCAATGACGATGTTCGTCTGCGAAACACGCAGCTTGAGGAGGAAGCACTTGCTTCTAGAGACGAACTTCAACGACAGACGGTGGTCACCACTACGTCGCTGAGGGCGGTAGAGAACTTGGCCAACCACATGGAGAAGAAGGTTCTCACGGACAAGCGCGTGAATGTAAGTATCCATTCCCCCCTTCACAAGTGTGTGTGTTCGCTTCCCCCCTTCCCTCTCATCCTGTCCCTTGTTCCCTCTCCGCCCATCCCTTGATCCCGCTCTACTCGTCCTTCCATTCCCATCCCTCATGCCCTCGTCCCATCTGCCCATCCCTTCATAACTTTTTGTCCTTCCCCCCTTCTCCCTCTCATCCCGTCCCTTCATCCCTCCCATCCCTTCATCCCGTGCAGGACATCATGAAGCAGGCAGTTAGCCTCACCATCAGCAAGCCCCCGTACATTAACTATGCTCCAGATGAAGCCCACTGGCTGAACCTCTTTGTTGGTATGTGCTGCAGCAATTTTGCTATCAAATTTTGCCCGTCCCTTAATTCAACGTGGTGTTCTTCATCACAGTCACGATTTGTTGTTTCAACCTTACCTGGCCTGATCTATCGTCACCCGTTTTCTACTACTGTGCAGAGCTGGCAAACGTGCAGCCACTCTCAGAAACCGCATTCAAGCTTAAGCTTGAACTATCGAACTCTGATGCCTTAGAGCGGACTGCCAAAATGTTCAACAACAGGTTTGGGAAAAGGCTTTCCAACCTCAGGCTCGGAGCACTCCTTAATTCCCCTCTTAAGCTAATCAAAGCTGTGATCAACAGCGATGGGAAGAAGTGCTACAAGAAGGACA